TTTCCATATGATAATGGATTGTTCTTGTATCATTTGGTGTAACAATAGTAAACATGCCTTCACTAGATTATTTGGGTTTTCATTTGATTGATAGCAGCGCGTTATTGTTTTATTGGATGGTTGCAAGAAATTGTTATTGGCTATGTGCACCCATCAAAACAAAATCTCCCAGGCTTGCATTCATTCGAGTAATTTGGTTTATCCTTTGATTTATAACATGTCCACATTTTTTTGGAGGACATTAGAAAATGTTATGATTATGTGAACTCATCCACTCCACGTATTAAGTGATCTTTGTATTTATTGATATTCCTAGTAATGTAGTGGACTCTAGAAATAGTCTCTATTTTTCATACAATAGTGCTTAGTTCATGTATCACTTGGGGTAGCAACAACAAGCATGTGCTCATTGGGTGATTCGGTATTTCATTTGATTGATAGAATGCTTGTGTTTTATTGGAAGGTCCCAAGAAAGTGTTGTGACTATATGAACTAATCAAAATCAAGTCACCCAACCATGCCCTCACAAGGTGATTTTGTTTTAAATTTGATTATTAGTATGTTTGCAACTTATTGGAGGGTTACAAGAGATTGTTGTGTTCACTTGAATTCATCAAAATCAAATCACCCAGGCATGCACTTAGTGATTTGGTTTTTCTTTTGATTGATAGCATGTTAGTGTTTTATTGGAAGGTCACAAGAAAGTATTATGACCATGTGAAAACATCACAACACATATCAGGCTTCCTTGGCAATTCTTGATTGTCCTAGTAAGGTAGTAGACCTTAGAGGTTGTCTCTATTTTTTGTATGTTAGTGGGTTGTTTTTCCATCATTTGGGGTAGGAAAAAGGCATGATTTTTCATCTAATTGTTAGCATTTCTATGTTTTATTGTAGGGTTGCAGGAAAGTGTTGTGAGTTTGTGACCATGTGAACTCGTCAAAACTAAATCACCCAAGCATAGGTGATTTGGTTTTTTATTTTGATTGATGGCATGTTTGTGTTTTATTGGAGTGTTGCAGGAAAGTGTTGTGGTCATTTGAACTAATCAGTCATCATGTTACTCTACCTTGATATTTCTATGTTGTCATAGTAAGGTAGTAGACCCTGGAGGCAAGTTCTTTTTTTTTTTCACCAGTGTTTTAAAAGGCGTACACCGCTCCTCCAGGCGAGGCACTCCCAAAACGCCCCAAGGTGTATGCCAGAGGTGCTGACACTTATGAGACGTACGCCTCATGCGCTTTTTTCATGAGGCATGCTAGAGGCGTACACCCAGTGTTTTAAAAGCGCAAGGCGAGGTGCACACCTTTTTAAGAAAGGCGCGAAATTACAAAAAAAAGCTAAAAAATAAAAAAAAGTCAGAAAATTCAAAAAAATGCCAAAAAATTCAAAAAATATTAAACATAATGTTGATAAAAAATATAAACTTAAATTTTAAAATAAATGTTTTAGAAAACCTATTATCTAAAATTAAAATACATAAACATAACATGTAAAGCGTATTCAAATGAAAATTTAAAAATAAAAGCAAACATATAAAGCATTTCAAGCATGTAAAACCCACAATCACTTTTTCTCGTTAATTGCATTGCTTCAAGTAGCTAATGTGATGTAAAACATATTGCATTCTTGATTCTATGAGTCGCCTTTGTACCACACCCCTCGAGGCAAGCCCAAACAAGTCTATGTTAGGGTATGAAATTCTTATTTCTCACATAAAAATAATGATTTTATAACTTTCATTGTCTTTTAAGAAGATATTTTATTGCAATGAATGAATGAACAACATTAGCAAAAATTTTAAAAGGCGCACGCCTGGGCTGAGGTGCAAGGCGCACCAGGCGTGCGCCTAGGACCTGAGCGAGGCGCATACCCCAAAATGCGCCTCACCTGTGTGCCTAGGCACACCTTTTAAATCACTGCATGCGCCTCATGCACATCTTATATAAAAAGACAGAAAAAAAAAGAAGAAAGAAAAAAAAGGAAAGGAAGGGAAAAGAAAGGGGAGGGAAAGAAAAAGAAAGAGAAGAAAAAAAGGAATGAAATGAAAAGGAAAGGGAAGGGAAGAAAAGTGGTCCGCTTCGACAAGACCCCCCCCCTTCAACTAATGTTATGCATCTTTATTCTTCTTACTATAAGAGATTTTTATTAAAAATAAAGAAAAATGAGATCCCCCCTTCCTCTTCATCCTCTTCCCCTTCCTCCTCCTAACCCCCCTCCTCTTAAGGAGGCTTACGCCTCTTGCGTTCCGAACTACGCCTCACGCCTCTAGGTAGTGGAATGCCTCGCGTCACGCCTCCACGTTTTAAAACATTGTTTTTCACATGTTAGCAGGTTGTTAGTGTGTCATTTGAGGTAGCAATAGTAGGATGCACTCATTGGATAATTTGGTTTTTCTTTTGGTTAATAATATGTTTGTGTTTTTTAGAGGATTGTAAGTAAGTGTTGTGATCATGTGAAAATCACCTAGGTAAGCACTCACTAGGTACTTTGGTTTTTGATTTGGTTGATAGCATGTTTTATTGGAGGGTCAGAAGAAAGTGTTGTGACCATGAGAACTTATTGCTCCACATGTTAAGCCATCTTTGTATTTTTTGATCATTAAAGTAGACCCTAGAGGCATAGTTTTCAAGGCATTGAGGCAAAGCTTGGTGACGGGCTTTTTTCTTTCTTTTTTTAATAAAACCCATCCTTCACTATTAGTTGTGTCTCTGTTACCTAAGTGATGGTTTCTTTTTTTTTTTTTTTTGAAATAAAAATCATGAACGCTACAACAATTCTTTAGGTTATATAGCAAGCAACACCCATCTTTCACCATTTATTGTCTAGAATCTTCATAAAAAATGTATAAGCTTCATTTGAAACATAGAGAATCAACATATTCATGACAAAATGGAAGAAAGAATAAGTTTCATAAAATGGAGGGGTTGAACCTCTATTTTTATTGTAGGAAAAGAAGAAAAGAAAGCATTGGTTGGATAAAATTTTGAGTTCTTCCATGCTTATCAGTTCAAGTTCAAGGCAGCACACATGTTGATTGAACCCTAACAAATGAGAAAAAAATAATAAAAAGAAACTAATACTTTAATTCAAAGTGAATAATTTAGATTAATAATATCTATTTTATTATTATAATCTCAAAAAGTTCAGTATATAAAAGTATCCAAGAGAACCTTAATGCCTAGGCGTCACCTTGACAACTTTGGCCCCAATGCTATGCAAACTTCAACTTCTCTTTCAATGACTTCCCCATGTGCACCAATTTATTTTGTCTTTCGAACTTCATCAACTACTAGCTCCCACTTCTTCATTTGCCCATCTGTTTCTTTTGATGCAAAGGGATCTATTTTTTGGATGATCACATTATTTGCAACATTGTGGGTTTTATGGAAGGAAAGAAATAGGAGAATATACACAAGAACATGAATTCTTTGGTTACAGATTGGGCATTAACTCAAAAGTTTTTCAAGGATATGGCAGGAATTAATTTTGGTTTCTATAGGGTAGATTTAGTGAGGCATTAGCAGTTAAATCATTCTTATGGACTTCACCAAGGCTCAACGCTTCGTCCTTTTGTTTTGAGAGAAAATAAAGAAAATAATAGGTTCCATGGTGCCTGTTTTTTGTTTTTGTTTTGATGCCACACTATTAATTGGTTAGACTAAAGACAGTTTAAATGCAAATTGCAAAATTAATAATAATAGGAGAGGAAATATATGCAATGCAAATTTAATAATAATCAGAGAAGAAACTCAACATAACCTCCTATGTTACTTTGGCTTGACAATCCATAACAACGGAGAAATTAAGTAGGATGTTGCCCGTAAAATTAGAGCAGGATGGGAAAAATGGAAGGGTGCATCTAGAGTCTTATGTTATAGGAGAATATTACGTAGTCTAAAAGGAAAAGTTTCTTAAATAATTGTAAAGCCCGCAATACTATATTGATCTGAGTGTTGGGCAGTCAAAAAAATCATGTCCATAAAATGAGTGTGGCAGAAATATGAATATGAATGTTGAGATAGATGAGTGGGAAAACTTGAAAGGATAGTATCAGACATGAACTTATTCAAAGGAACCTAGGAGTAGCTCCAATAGGTGGTAGAGTGAGGGAAAATAGACTAAGATGGTTTGGTCATATGCAGAGAACACCATCTATGATACTTGTAAGAAGAAGTGATTTGTTACGAGTTGAAGGGCCCCGTGCCTAGGTGCACATGTTGGGACAATGCCTAGCCTCGAAGCACTTCAAAGGTGCGTGCCTGGTGTGCCTTTAGCTTCAGCCCAGGCGTGTGCCTTTTGAAAATTTGTACCTTTTTTGATTTTTTTCTGTTTCTTTTTTTATGCCTAGTGGCTGGGCCAGGGGCGGAGCCCCTGGCCCCCAACCAAGCCCCTCAAGGCAAGCCTAAACAAGTCCAAACCAGGGTCTTAAATTCTTAATCCCTATAAAAAAGGTTTTATAACTGCAATTGTTCTTTAAAAATATCTTTTATTAAGATGAATGAGAAACATTAGCAATGGAACATTAGTAAATATGTTCCTTTACCTTTTTTTCAAAAAAAATTGTTGTTATTACCTATTTAACAAGAAAAAAAAAAGAAAAAAGAGACATTGAGCAAATACAAGGTCGAGCATGGGAATCTTAGGTCCCTTGACTGAGATCATTTTCTGTGGTATAGCAACTACTCTAAGGTGGTACTCTAACCCACTCATGGTGTTTATTCACATAGCAGTGTTGGAAGACTTTTCACAATATACTGTCAAATCTCCATATAGTTGATATATACAGTATACTGCACTCCATAACTTGTTGAAGAGACATTAGTTGTAGTATTTTACATAAATGGCTAAATCTATTTTGTACTTTATCCATGATTATCTTGTTATCTTTTTTTGTCATTTAAAGAAGATAATCAATTCTTTTGTCGTGGAGTTAAGAGTCAGCTATGTGCATGAAATAGTGATGGAAATCTGATATGGAAAATTGAGGATTCTTTCAGGTCATGCAGTTCTTTACACGGCAGAAGCATTCAAAGAAATATGTTCTTGTCCATTGTACTCATGGGCATAATCGGACAGGCTATATGATTATTCACTTTCTTATGCGTTCACAACCAATTTCTGTGACCGAGGTCAGCAGTCTGCACTATTCAGTTTTATTTTTTTCCCTTGCTTTTACAACAGTCTATCTACCTTCTTTTCATTTATGTTTCTATTATCTGTTGTGCAGGCTATTCACATGTTCGCTACTGCACGTCCCCCTGGGATCTACAAGCCTGATTATATTGATGCACTATACAAGTTTTATCATGAAAAAAAGCCTGAATCAGTTACCTGTCCATCAACTCCAGAGTGGAAGAGATCTCCTGATTTTGACCTGAATGGTGAAGCTGTTCCAGATGATGATGATGATGGTGGTCTAGCTGCTTCTTTGCATGTATGCATTTTTCTGATAAGTACAGTTTCATTCCTAGTTACTCTCACTGCTTCTTCTGCATGTATCTTATTGTCATGCCAATTTTTTCTGGGAAAAATGCACAATCTATTTTATTGTTTTTTTTGATAAGTAAATGAAATTTATTATTAACTCAAAACAACATTCATCTAGCATGTAGCATCCCAAGGAGAGGTGCGAGTTGCACCCTCATCTGGCTAGTACAAACATAAAAATTACTTTATAATTTTGCCCAGTACAAATGACCCCTAATTACCCCCTGCTTAGTGTTTTAAAAGTGCAAGGCACAAAAAAAGTGCAAAGGCCATTTTGTGCCCTAGGTGCAAGGTGAGGTGTGCGTCTATTTGAATCAAGGTGCAAAAATTTTACAAAAATAAAAAAATGCAAAACAAATGTATAGAATTCAAAATAAATTAAGAAAACATTAAAAACAGTATTCATTGTCATCATCATTGTCCATGCCTTATCCCGACTATATGGTGTCTGCTACATGAATCCTATTTTGCCAATCTGTTCTATTTAAAGCCATATCCAATGTTAAATAATGCTTAAATGAAAATATTGAAAATAGTATTAATTAACAAAATCAAACTTTAATTTTAAACTAAATGTTTTGAAAAAGGCTATTAGCTCAAATTCAAATACATAAACATGACATAAAACATATTCAAAGTGAAAAATGCAAAAATAAAATGAACAACAGCATACAAAACATATGCAAGCATGTCAAGCTTTTAGTTTCTTATTTCTTTCTCGATTGCATTATTTCAAATAGTTAATGTGATATTACATCATTCGTTCCTATTTCTACAAGCTGCCTTTGTACCATGCCCCTTGAGGCAAGCCCAAACAAGGCTAGGCTCACTAGGTCCACACCTTTTGAAAGTGGTGCACCTGGGAAATGCGCCTTGCCTCTGCGCCTAGGCGTGCCTTTTAAATCACTGCCCTTGCTTTGCTAGTGTGTCTGCTACCCCTTTGGCTGATCTTCTAACCTATTAAATTTGTATTTCTGGTTAACCAGTTGAACTTCTTTATTAAGTCCCTATAAGTCCAATTGTTTGTCTCTGGTTTCTCTAACCATCACACTACCAACTTGGAGACCCCTTCAACGACTAATCTCTCCAAATTCAGATCTTTTGCAATCTGAACCCCTTGGATAACAGCAGTGTTTTAAAAGGCGTGGGAGGCATACACCTGGAGGCATGCCTCCAGGCGAGGCACTCCCAAAACGTCCCGAGGCCTATGCCAGAGGCTCTGACACCTCTGAGGCGTATGCCTCATGCGCTTTTTTCATGAGGTGTGCTAGAGGCATACACCTCATGCACATCTTATATAAAAAGAAAAAAAAAAGAAAAAAAAGGAAAGGAAAGGAAAAGAAAGGGAAGGGAAAGAAACAGAAAGACAAGAAAAAAAAAAAGAGAAAAGGGAATAAAAGAAAAGGGAAGGGAAGGGAAGAAAAGATAAGGGGAAAGAAAGTGGTTTGCCCCCTACCTCTTCGGCTAGGGGGCTTCGCCCCCAGACCTCACCACCCCCCTTTTCGACTAATGTTATGCATCTTTATTCTTCTTAATATAAAATATTTTTATTAAAAATAAAGAAAAAATGAGATCCCCCCTTCCTCTTCATCCTCCTCCCTTTCCTCCTTCCTCCTAACCCCCTCCTCTTAAGGAGGCTTACACCTCCTTGTGTTCGGGAGGCTTACACCTCACGCCTCTAGGTAGTGAAACGCCTCGCGTCACGCCTCCACGTTTTAAAACACTGGATAACGGCTAGAAGCTCTGCACTTATAGCATCCCCCACACCACATTAAGGCAGCCCGTATGCACCCCCACACCTCCACATGATCTACCTTATTGTTTCATATATTGTATGCATAGACATGGTAGATATGATTTTTTTTTGATAAATGAATGATGGTTTTTTTAATAATAAGAAAGGATGTGTACATTCACCCTAAGAGAGGCACAAGATGTTACCTCCCCTTAGAGGTGAGAGCATAAACAAATTCTTAACAGAATACAATCATAGAGTAGTAGAAAATAAGTCAACTGTTGAGACCACTTGTTTTGCCAAAGAATCAACTATGGCATTTGCTGATCTGCTGACCCACAGATAGTGATAGGTGACTGACATATTCCTTGTTAGCCAATTAACTTTCTTAAGAAGATTTCTGTAACCCATAGAACTGTTTCTGGAGTTGACAACCAACCCATTACCACCTTAGAATCTCCCTGAACTATCAAATTTTCCACACCTAGTTGTTTTGCAACCTGTATGCCTTGCACCGCAGCCAGTGTCTCAGCCCTTGTTGAATCTCCAACTCCCACTGGTCCTGAAAATAGAGATAGGATGTTTCTTTCCTTATCTCTTAAGATCCCTCCTATACCTGAAGGCCCTGGGTTGCCTAGACTGCTGCCATCAAAGCTCAGCTTTACCACATCCTCTGTAGTAGGTCTCCACTCTATTTGTAGTCTATTCTTTTTGGGGGCTGTAGAGGCCACCTCTGCCCAACTTTTCCAAAGATCATCAAAAGAACAACCTCTGAACATCTCTGAAGTTTTTAGCCAATGAATTGTTCTTGTCAAAGTACACTTTTTAACTTCATTGATAGTTCTTTCCTTTTCCTGGAATATTCTAGAATTCCTTTCCTCCCAAATAGTCCACAACATGGATGCTTTGATGCACTTCCACATTAGTTTCCCTCTCTTAGTTTCTGCCCAAAAGTAGGCTGATAAAAAAGCAGGTTTACTTTAGAGGGCAAGATCCACCTGCACACAAACAACATAAAGTCCCAATTCCAAATATTAGCAGCAAAAGCACAAGATAACAACAAGTGATGGTAATCCTCGTTATGCGTTTTACACAAAATATACCAGTTTGGGAATATACAAAGAAAAGGTCTCTTCTTTTGCAGGTTATCCATAGTATTGATCTTACCATAAAAGGCTTCCCAGAAGAAAACAGCTACTAGAGGGGGAATGGGCCTTGACTAGATTTCTTTGACAGGGAACTCCAAGGAGGGGCAGAACATAGGGACTTGAGATAAGAAGCACAAGTAAAGGAACCGTTAGGAGTTAGAGTCCAAATTCTTCTATCAGGTTTAGAGAGGTCCAAACAAACAGTCCAAAAGAAGCAAGATCTCCAAGACACAAGCCAGATTCCTCATCCCTTAAACCTCTATGAATCCCAAAATTCCAATTCAAAGACAAGGGGAGAACTGGGGGAGAAAGAAATCTTGAGACATGGTAGATATCATTGCTGTTATTACTTCTTTTGCAGAGTTCATTTGTAGTTTTTAACTAGTCATAAATTTTGATGAAGTTAAGCCTGAGCAATATAGATATAGATAGATAGATATGTTGTTTAAGCCTGAGCAATTTAAAATCTGGCATATCCATGTCTATGATTAATATTACCAGTTCATTTCTTTTTTATTGTAGGACCATGTGGAAAATGAAGTGATGACAAATGATGATATTTTGGGAGATGCAATACCTAATGACCAGCAAGATATGTTGAGACAATTTTGCTATCATTCGCTTAAACTGGTACCAGGGGTAGGCACTTTGGAATTTTCTTTTCCCCATTTAACTTGTTCAAATTATTGTAGCACATGGTTTCAGAGTTTATAATTATTGTTTGAATTTCTTTACCTTTATTTGTAACATAGCTGTTTTCCCAACTTGACTGACTAAACACCATTGTGCTTTTTTTGTGGATTTGTGATGACTAATATTCTTTTTAGATTCACTCTCTATTGCTGAAAATGCTTTTCTTCTTGTTATTGTTTTCGTGTGTAAGTTGCCTAGTGCTGTAGTTTCATGTATTTTGATTTTGGGTTATTTGTAAAATAATTTTCCTTTTATTTGTCTTCAGGTGAGAGGAAATTCACAATTTCCAGGATCACACCCAGTTTCTCTTAACAGGTCTAATCTCCCAATGTCCTTATTTTGTATTGTTATCTATGTTTATTTATTTGATCTTATTTATCTTTTCATTGAGAAATCATAGTGTGTTTTTGCTCTGATTTACTCTGTCTCTGTCTCATGAGGTTCTTTTATGTCTTGAATAAATGTAAACAATTTTTTTTTATATAAATGAAAGAAATTGATATTAATAGTGAAACAGTGAGCATACAACAGCCTAAGAAGAGGCACGAGATGTGACCTCTTCTTTAAAGTGAAAGCTCAAAACTCACGCTAAACAGAAATCAATTTACAAAGTTTCCCAGTACAAAGAAACCCTTGAGACCCCTTGTTTAGCAAGAGAATCAGCCAAAACATTTGCTGATCTGCTAACCCACCGAAAATTAACTGACATGTTTCTTGTAAGCCAATTGACTCTTCTTAGAAGATCCCTATAATCCCAACTAATATTTGGGTTCGCCAACCAACCCACAACCACCTTGGAATCTCCCTCAATTACCAACTTCTCCACTCTAAGTTGGTTGGCAAGCTGTATTCCTTGTAGTGCTTTTAGTATCTCAGCCCTTGTAGAGTCTCCAACTCCCACTGGTCCTGAGTATAAGGAAAGAATGTCGCTATCCTTATCTCTCCAAACCCCTCCCATGCCTGAAGGTCCTCGGTTCCCTTGACTACTCCCATCAAAGTTCAATTTCACAGCGCCCTCCGGAGGGGGTAGCCAGCTAGCTTGTATTCTAATCTTTTGAGAAGATGTAGAAGCCACTGCTGCCCAGTTTCTCCTGAGATCATCATGGGAGTAATTTTCAAAAAGTGCTGTAGTTTTCAGCCAAAGGGTTGCCCTTGTCAAGATACACTCTTTTACTTGCTTTCCTTGAAATATTCTGGCATTTCTTTCCTCCCAAATAGTCCATAACATAGCTGCACTAGCACATTTCCACATTAATTTCCATAAATGTAAACAATTTTTATGGAATAACATGTGTTTGTAGATTGATTTGATTAGGTTTGAATAGAGGAAAAAGAAGATCAAAGAGGGAACATCATGATTTGGATGAAAAAAAAGTGACAGGCGTGTGCTTATATTTTTGACTGTACAAAATGGCCAAAAGCCCCTGGTGTAACTCATACTTAACACCTATTTCAACACATTCCCTCTCTAGCTGAGTATGGATATTAATCATAACCAGCTTTTCTTTATATAAAATAAAAATTTATTGAAAGGGAAAACTACAAAAAAAAAGTACAAGAAAGGTGACCGACAGGAGGAAGAAACAAAGACAACAAAAGGATAAGAAATCCACCCTCCAATATAAATCAAAATAACCACCTTGTCCACCCCAAAAAAAAACATAAAAAACAACCCAAATAACTAAATAAGACACTCCTTTAACACACAGTACCTATGAAACTATCATCAGATACTTCCATCCCCTCTCTTAACACTCACCTTACTCCCTCATGACAATCCTCTTACCCTTTTTTTTGGATCAATAACGGAACCAATTTATTAAGGAAGAGAAAGAAGAAACAAGTACAGAAGCGGAGAGAGGTAAGTAGTTCTCTTAACTCTCTCCAAAAAGAACAGTAAAATTACAACAAAGCTCAAAACATTTGATTCCTTCCCACCCCTTGTTTTGTAAGTGTGGCTATTTAGCAACCTTTTGACCCATTGCAGTCTCACTTCCATACCCTGAGTTATCCACTTAAAATTTCTTTTTTCATTAATGTAACTCCACATGCCATCATCCTCCTTTTGTAGGCATCCTTTTACTAATTTTGAATCTCCTTCAATGATCAACCTTCCAAAACAGCCATTATTTCAGATCGGAGTGAGTCCCCTAACCCAATTAGGCCTAAAAATAGAGCAATAACTTCACTTTCCATCATTCCTGAAAACTCCTCCAATACCTGAAGGGATGGGTCTTCACCACTGCCATCAATGTTTTTCTTGATAAATGAATGCAATTTTATTAATAAAAAAAAGAGTGTACGGTTTGCCTAAGACGATGCACGAGGTGTTACCTCCCCCTAGGACTGAACCATATGCAAATAAATACACACAAGCCTGAATTACAGTTATAAGGTAGCCCAAAACAGTTCTCCCCTTGATACCCCTTGTTCAGCCAGAGAATCAACTATGAAGTTTTCTTATCAGCCAGTTAACTTCCTTTAACAGATCCCTGTAACCCCAACAAACTGTTTCTGGATTTGTCAGCCAGCCCACTACTACCTTGGAGTCCCCCTCAACTATCAAGTTTTCCACTCCAAGTTGACTAGCCAGCTGTATGCCTTGTCCTGCTGCTAGTATCTCAGCCCTTGTAGAATCACCGACACCTGCTGGTCCTGAAAATAAAGAAAGGATGTTGCTATCTTTATCTCTCAGAATCCCTCCTATGCCCGAAGGCCCTGGGTTACCTTGACAGCTTCCGTCAAAATTCAATTTTACCATTCCTGAGGCTGTGGATGCCACTACTGCCAATTTCTCCTCAAGTCATCAAAGGAGTAACCCACCAACAAGTCTGAAGATTACAGCCAAGAGGTTGTTCTTGTCATTATACACTCCTTGACTTCAACAAGGCTTCTTTCTTTTTCTTGAAAAATTCTAGCATTTCTCTCCTCCCATAAAGTCCACAAGCTAGCAGCTCTGATACACTTCCACATTAGCTTCCCTTTCTTTATTAATCTTCCAAAGGCAAACAGAGTAAAAAGCAGCTTTACTTTGGAGGGAAAGTTCAACTTAGTGAAACGAGAACCTGGTGGAGTCCACAAAGGATAGGGTACAATTTTACTAGGGGCTGAGAGTGCCACTTCCTTCCATTTATTCAGCAATGCTGTTGTAGGAATATCTTCAAATAAAGCCATAGATTTCACCCACTGAACCACCCTAGCAGTGCTTACCTCAATAATTGCCCCTCTATTCTTCTCCTTTTCAGCAAAAATTCTTTGGTTCCTTTCCTCCCATACTGTCAAACAAAGTGCAGCTCTTGTGCATTTCCACAACACTCTTCCCCTCTTCTTTTTCCAACTACCAGCAAAAGAGTCAAAAAGGTTTTGCACATTTGGTGGAGGAGTCCACCTGCAACCAAACAAAAAAGAAACCAATCCCAAATAAAAAAACAATGGGGCGGGAGATTAGTAAGTGGTAGAAAGACTCATCATCAGTTTTATAGAGAATGCACCAATTAGGGGATAAGAACCAAATAGGCCTTTTCTTTGATGCAGATCACAAATGTTGAACCTTCCTAAGAATTCCCAGTAGAAAGCCCCAATCCTTGGAGGAATTGGTTTACCCAAAACTTCCTTAATGGGAAAGGGTTGCCCAAGACTCTTAGAGGGTTGAGCTAAGGCTTTGAAAATAGAGACATAGGTAAAAGTACCAGAAGAGGATAGCGTCCAAAGTCGGTAATCCAATTTTGAAAGATCCAAGCAAGAAAACCCTTTGTAGAATTTGAAGCAATGCCCAAGACATTATTCAAACCCAAATTGTTGATGATCCTCCTAAAACCCAAGTCCCATTGAAGCTCAGAACCCACTACAGAAGAAGATAGGAAGGTGGACACAAGCTCATTTTTATAGTTAGAGATGGAGAAAAGAGAGAGGAATTTATCTTTTAGTGGTGAACTCCTTAATCAAACGTGTTCCCAAAACTTTACCAGATATCCACAGCATGTATTATACTTGACAAAAGGAAGGAATGGAGGTAGATAGCATGTACAGACCTCCATGGAGAAGCTCTAGTAGCTTGAGCCAATAGTTTATGCTTAAAATTACCTTATCCCATAGTTTATCCTTTCTAGAAAAACAAAAATCTCTATCCCCCTCACATTCATAAAGAGACCCCTAATGACAAAGCCTAGCCTCTATCTTGGAACACTCAAACTTTATCCACTAAATGCACTCTTCCTTAACTTGCTTAGAATCTGTCACTATTCTACCCTTGCTAACCTTAATAATCTTCTTCACCTTCTTTTGAGGACCAACCCCAAATAAGCCTCCCTTCAAATGGGATACATATTTCTCTTAATAACCCCCTTAATTAATATTATCTTAAAAAAAAGTCATTATCTTCAAATGGCAATCAACTTCAAAATGATTAGTTTGATTGTGTTTGATAGGGTTATGTGTTATATTAATTACAACCTGATTATCACAATATAACATTGGCTTTTCATAATGAATCTAAAGCTCCACTAGGAAAGGATGCAGCCATAGAATTTTGAAACATCATCACCCTAACTATATATTTAGCTTTTGTAGTAAACTGATCAATCACAAACTGCTTTATAAGCAATGGTTTGCACTCCCATTTTCATTGTATTGTTTGGTCTTAAATATATTTCCTTGAAAAAATAAATATGCCCTGCTTGAATCAAGCAATACCAATAACAAAGAACTATCATAGCTTTCCTAAATCCTTGATCTCAAAATCAGCACCCAAAAATTACTTAAGTTGTACGACCTCAGAAGATTGTTTCTTGTAAGTTGTAACCACTATTATCATCAACATAAAGTATGAGGTTAATGTAGGGGACCGTAGATAAAGGCAAGGTTCATGGGTATCCTTGCTTCAAAATCCCCCAAAGTAGTCTCTGAATTTAGGGGAAATCCAAAATAGTTACTGGTTTTGTTCTAGTAGTAAAGAACTACTAGACAATAAAGAGAAAAAGAAGAAATCATGTGTTTATCCATCACTGATTTCAAGAGGAGAAGAAAAGCAGCTTAGAAAAGAAGAAAATTTAACTCACTAAATTTTTCTTTGACTAAGAAGTTTAGCAATTATTAAAACTGTAGCTGACTCCTAATTAGGATCACTCCTAAGAATAGGAACTTATAAAATAGAAGAACAACAAGATAGTAGTTAATCTAAACTAATGATTTCCTAAACAAAATAGGTAACTGCTAATTGCAAATGTTCTAAAGAAATAGGACTTTTCTTAAAAAAAAAGAAAAAAAAAAACAGCTGGTGTGTGTTGTGCAAATCTCATACTGAGGTAAAATTAACCTTTGCTGCAGCTCTCTGGGATTGGATGTTTGTTTTGTTTGGATGTAGTTGGAATCAACCAACAGAGGTAAAATTATTATTCTCACTGGCTACCTTTGCTTGCCCAACAAAAAGTATGTGGAGATGTTTCAGAGCAGCCACCTTTGGACAATTTGGGAAGAAAGAAATGCTAGAATCTTCCAAGATAAGGAGGGGGTCCTTTACAGAAGTGAAGGAATGTATCTTAACCAGGGTTATTCACTGGCTGAAATCCTTGGCTTCTTTCAATTCCTTTTCATTTGATGACATTTGGAGGAATTGGGCCACAGGGTAACCCAAGACCATTTGGCATTGGAGGAGTATAGAGGAATGAGAACGGCAACATCATATCCTTATTGTCAGGCCCGGTAGGGATAGGGGGCACTACAAGAGCTGAGTTGTTGGCTGCAGTATAAGGAATTCAGATTGCTAATCAACTAGGAGTGGATAACTTACTAAATGAAGGGGATCCTAAGGTGATTGTGGGCTTGCTACCAAGTCCAGACTCAATTGTTTGGAGTTATAGGGATCACATAAAAAAAGTTAAATGTTTAACAAGGCACATAACATGTAGATATCAGTGGGTGGGTGTAGGTGGGCAAATACTTTGGCTGATTATCTTGCTAAACAAGGTTCTACTAGGGATCGGTTATTATGATCAGCCTTGTTTAGGGGAGGCTGCATCTTGTGCCTCTCCAGGGGATTCTTGTAAACTTTTATTACTCTCGATTAATGAACTCATTTTCAATTATCAAAAAAAAAAAGATAACAGCTGGTTTAAAAGAATAGTAACTATAAATTTAGAAACTGCTGTCAACTTCTAAGTCTGGTTGCAGCCATTGGTTCCTTCTTCTATCATGTGTTTCAGTAACTCTGGGATGCTTAAATCTCTCTAGAAATAGATTTTATGTATCCTCTATTTCTGTAGAGTGTTGAACTAATCTGTCACTCCCTCTTGAAAAGAATACACCATCAAGTTCTAATTATCATGCTCCATATAATAAGGTAAAAGATGCTTCACATTGAAAGTGTCACTGATTTGCCAATCTGGGACCAGGTGCACTTTGAAATATTGTAATTAATCTTTGCAAGATTCTCACGGGGACCAATTTTCCTAGGCTTGAGCCTATGATATCTCTCTTTAGAAAGATGCCCAACACTTCATCTTCAACTTCATAGATAAGTTTACAACAGTGTAGATTAGCTTGGTACTTTGGAGGTATCTTGTAATGAGGCTTATTGTGTAGGGCTGCTCCAGGCATAGCGTTGCCTTTGTTCTAGAACACCATTACCACCTTTCTGGTCTAAAATATCCCTTTTGCTGCACAAGTAAATGCATTTCTTGTTCTTCCAGCCCATGCTCAAATTCAGGTTTGGAAAGAAATACTAGGTTCTTCCTCCTTTCACATTCTTGTTCACCTTTAGAAGGCATAAAGTTAACTTTTTGCCATCCTTATAAAAGGTGCAACTATTGGTTGCCATTGCACTTGTTTTTTCTATCAAACAAGGCAGTGTTTATTAGTTTTTACTGCATGGTCCTTATCCAATCATGCAATCTTGACAACTATGTGCTCCATCTTGAAAAATATCAGCTTTTCTTAAATGGGCTTTTGATCGTACTGGGTTACCTCTCTTTTGGTCACGTTTCTCCCTAAGATGGGGGCTTTTTGTTGGGAAGTTTTCCATTTGAAAATCAGCACTTGTGATGTTATCCAAAAGAGAAGACCTTTTAAGTGCTTGTCTCCACATATTTGCTTTCTTTGTATGGCAAAATGGCAAGATCCCTTATCGCTTATTAATCTCCTGTTCATTTGTCACTAGAATTTGGGAGTAGTTTTTTTCTCTCTTTGGTTGTAGGCAGTGTTCTCTGTTGAATGTGGAAAACTTGTTTAGTCCTTTTTTCAACCCATTTCACAAGAGGGATGATCTTGTGGAGATGCACTAGAGCTGCAGTATTATGGACCGTATGAGGAGAAAGGATGGAGGTATCTTCGATGGGAAAGCCAGATTAGAGGAAGCAGTGATAGAAGCTATTTCATTGGAAGTGGTTCATTGGGTCAAAACTATAGTTATTTTCAACCCTTTTGTTGAAGATATCACTAGAGGATGAGGTGGAAGGAGACACCAAGGTAGTGGTGTGTTGGTTGAAAACCAAGAACTAGGTTGGTGCTATAGGCAGATTATGAAGGAGATTAAATATCTAAGAAGGGAGGTAAATGCAACCCTTGAATGGATTAATAGATCTGCAAATTGCTTGGCTGATAAACTTGCCATGCAAGAAGTGAATAGGGAATGGTTATTTTGTGGTCGAGACCATTCATGTAGAATGAGTGAAGTGAATATGGGGTAGGGATTGTAGACAGTCTACTTGTAAAAGGGATGCTGGGCATGCTGTTTGTATCTTAATATTTGACTCATTATTAATAAAATTTATAGTTATCCATAAAACACCTCCTCTCCCCCTAGTAAGTGGGTTGAATCACTGTTTCTGTGAACCTGGATTAATGTTGAGCTTTATCAGTGTAATATTGAACTTGATCTGGCACCTGATGTCTTTTTCATTTTCTTATTGGTTATAGTTATACCTTGTTAATGGTTTAATTTTGTTTTACCTGTAAGAAAAGGAAGGGACTGGTAGTGTTGGCTTAATTTTATATGATCAGTTTCATTTGCCATTGACTTTATTCTCATTTTATTTATTTTCACTCTTATGCTCACAGGGACAACCTGCAATTGTTAAGACAGCGTTATTATTATGCTACATGGAAAGCAGATGGAACACGCTATATGATGCTGATAACTTGGGATGGATGTTTCTTGATTGATAGAAATTTTTGTTTTCGAAGGGTTCAGATGCGGTTTCCGACAAAAAGCATGAATGAGGTTTGTATGCATGTCTTTCTACTTTCAGGGCTGGTTTTAATTTTTCAGCCCTTTGAATAGTTCTTTTCTGCAGATATAAAGCATAATCTGATTTTGATATTTTTGCTTGTAAGGGTCTAGCTGAGAAGACTACTCATAACTATACGTTGCTTGATGGTGAGATGATTATTGATACACTTCCTGACACACAAAAGCAAGAGAGAAGATACTTGATCTATGATCTAATGGCACTAAATGCAATGTCTGTTATTGAGGTTAGATGTGCTAAACCTTATTGTGGTATTTATGCAATGGTTTCCGTTCTTGCTGTAGCTACTAACTACCGAAGAAAAATCTATAAAACAACCCTGAAGAAAAAACTCGTATGGGTCTTGGACATAGGTTTTTGGTATTATTGTTGTTGGCAGCTGCTAAAGTTGTGACAACTAGGCACAGTTGTGACAACTATTCCTTTGGTTAATCCACACCATACACATAGACATGCAGTGCAGCATAGTTAACTGTCTTCTAATTAATAACTAGGAATACATAGCACCATTTGGTGCAACAGTAACATCTTGGGCTAACAAATATAAGAGCATAGATTTAAGCCTGATAGCAGCCAATTCATGCTAAAAATTCTGGAGGTTAGGTCTGTATACACTTGAATATCTTATTCCTCTTCAATGCCTTTTCTAGTTGAGCAATTGTAAGTGAAGGGAGACATTGGAGTCCATGAGATTGGCAACATTAGATTGTAAGATTTGCTATATATGCTGGATGTATATTATTACCAGAATGCTGGTTCCTTCTTCAGAAACATTAACTTCTTTGGGACCTTGTCATATAATGATTCAGGATAATCAACTTTAATTGATTCTACACTGTCTTATATAATGATTCATGATGTACTCACTATAATCTAGGTATGTTTGGCTACATTTAAATATTTTCTGAGGAATGCTTTAGAATTTTCTGCAGCGCTTAGCTTACCAAAGTTTTCTTTAAATGTTTCTTGAATGTGGTTATTATTTTCAAATTTTCACAGATATCACTTGTCTTGTGAAGTTTTTTTTTTTTTTTTTCATATATTTGCACAGCTACTAATTGTATTGGGGATTTCCCTTCTTTCTGTAGCAATACAATTATACTTTACATTCTCTCTCCCTCATATAAAAAATCATGTTCGTTCAACTATGTGGTTTATTTTTGGTTGTCTTGTACTGCCATTTATGGTCAAGTCTATGTGGAACTCATATGGTTTGGGTTCTCAAAATGTAATGCAGCGGCCCTTCTACGAAAGGTGGAAAATGCTAGAGAAAGAAGTGATTGAACCTCGAAATTCTGACCGCTATTACATACACCAAAGTAGGAATCCTTATTACAGATATGATCTCGAGCCATTCAGGGTATGTAGAATGATGATTTAGATTATTAACTTCAGTTAAGTCTCTTTATAACATTTTCCATATTTTTGCTAGTGATAATAATTTGCATGGAATCAACAGGTGAGAAGGAAGGATTTTTGGTTGTTGTCTACTGTTAACAAGCTTCTTAAGGAATTTATCCCACGGCTCTCACATGCAGCAGATGGGCTTATTTTTCAGGTACTTGAGGATTCTGTGTTGGCACTTGGTATTGAGGTCTTTCACAAGTTGTTTTCTGAATATTATTCATAACTGGAGATCCAAAATCTCACTGCATTCTAATAAAGAATATTGTTCAGTTTATGTAGTGCATGGGAGGGAAGAGAAAGAGAACAATAGGAGGAGAAAACTGATAGGAGAAAAGCTTCTTTTCTCTCCTCCAATTGGGTGATATTCATAGGAGTGTCTAGAAGTGCATCTGATGGGCCCTTATAAGCTGGGATGGATAAGAAGACTCAAACACCTCCCAATCTCATGCCACTTGGCACTATCCCTCAAGTTGCTGAATATATCTCAAATAACCCCAACATATTACACAAATATTTAGAGTGCAAAATCTTGTAATTTGTATGTATTTATACTGTACATATTTGTATTTGGTACTCTTTCCAAACTGAGCCTTAGTAAACAAGTATACCCATAGATTTTTTCAGATATCATGTGAATAGTAGATGTAACATGTCATGCTCTCTCTCTCTCTCTCTCAAAGTGACAGTTAATTTATATATGCTTTGCTCATTCATGCAAAAAAGGATTAGATGCAATATGAACAACAGCTTGATTATCACAATTTAGTTTTGTAAGATTAGGTGCAATATGAACAACAGCTTGGTGTGAACCATATCTTAATGTTGTTTGTAACAACATTTTGCTTCTTGTTCTTCCACATAACCAAATTGTCTCCTAAAAAGTATAATGCCCAATAATGGATTTCCTATGAAATGTAAATCCAGCCCAATCAACATTTAAATATCCCCAATAGTCAAGTAGTTTAGTTTGCTAACTAGTCTCCCAAGACCTTCTTGAATCATGAAATCATTCACCTTGATCTGCACTCAACTTAGTATTTGAGTTCACAAGGGACTCCACTCATTTAGCCCCTAATAATCTGTCTCTTTAAGTAGATCAAGAATATATTTCCTTTGACATAGACTGATGCCATGCCTTGACTCAAGACTAAAGAGTAAACAACAAGGTTTAATTTGTAAACTTGACATTGAGAAGGCTTATGACCATGTAGAATGGGGTTTTCTGAAAGATATCTTGGCAAGGATAGGTTTTGAGGAAAGGTGGAGAAGCTGGATGTTTCCGTGTATTTCCTCAATCTCTTTTTCAGTTCTTGTTAATGGTATATTCACACCTTTTGTTCAAGTCCAAAGGGGCTTGAGACAGGGAGATCCATTGTCACCTTTGTTGTTTGTTTTGGTGGCAGAAGTTCTAAGCCGCTTATTATGAAAAGGAACATAAACTGGATGTTTAAAGGATTTAAAACAGGAAGAAATGGAGTTTCATTACTTATCTTCAGTTTGTTGATGACACATTGATATTTCTAGATGCCTCAATTGTGCAAGTGCTGAATTTAAGAGTGATCCTCAGATTTTTTGAAATATTGGCAAGACAGAAAATCAACTTAAAGAAGAGTGTGATGAATGACTCTTGGAAGATAAGTGTGTTTGTCTTCCACTTGTAAATTTTCTACTGATGAATTAATGAAAGTGTTATTGATAAAAAAAAAAAAATATCTTGGAATTTCTGTGGGAAGAATGCACAACTACTTTGGGCTGTTTGATGGGGGATTTCCCTTCAATTATTTGGGTATCTCTATTGGGGTAAAAGCATTGGTTGCTTCAACATGGCAACCAGTTCTTGACAGAATAGATCAAAGACTGGTAGGTTGGAAAGGAAGGCATCTCTCACTTGGTGGAAGGATTACTCTTATAAAGAGTGTGTTGTCCAATCTCCCTGTATATTATCTTTCACATTTAAAGGCTCCAGCTTCTCTGATAAGTTCAATTGAAAAAAAAAATCAGGAGTTCTTATTAGTTAAGTGGGAAAAGGCCTGCACAGAAAAGAAAGATAGGGGGTTGGGGATAAGAAGATTGAAGATTTTCAATAAAGCTCTTCTAGGAAAATGGTTGTGGAGATTTGGGTTGGAGAGGGGGATCCTTTGGAGAAGGGTGGTGGCTTGCAAATATGGGGTCATTGGATTCGGGTGGGATTCCAGACAAGTTTTAAAGTGTTGGTGTTGGTGGAAATGTTAATCATCCCGATACAAGAAACATGTCAGAAATATTGTTAAAATTATAGACACGGTGGTAACATTGTAAAATAATACAAAATATAGAATGATATTTTGTGAAATGATGAAAGAAGCATAGGCACACCTTTTTAAATTATTATCTTGTTCCAAATCATAAACAAAGTTAAGAAACTGAGGTTATAGACAAAAGAATATGTTCAGAGCTTCATGATAGAATGAGTTAAAGCAAAATCTAAACTCGTAGAAAATGTAAATGGGAGTAATAGATCAACCAAATAATCTATTACACAAAGAAAAACTAATATTTAACTTCATGCTGGTAGTGTTCATTGGGAAATATGTATGTTATGGAAATTCTCTTGTACTTCACATAGCTTCGGTAGTGTTCATTGGGGGATATGTCGATTCTAGTGAAATTTCATGTCGCTAACCATGGAAATGGAAATATGTCATGGAATATTAGGGAAATAAGGGACATTTTAAACCATGTTCCAAAGAAGTGGACATCTTACGGAGTTAGCTTTTCTCAACCTTCTGTCCTTCAAGGTTGGAGATTGTTCAATAATCAAATTCAGGGAAGTTGATTGGTCGGGTACAAGGTTCAAAGTATTGAAACTCCTTTTTTAATTTTTTTTCAAGTTTCCAGTTTTAAACATATTTATATATATTATTTTAAAAAAATGGGTTCCCGAAAACACCTGTAAACATGTATATCGGGGACAAAATATATGATACAATATGCCCGATACAAGGCGTATTGTATTGATAGTTTGAACCTTGGTTGGGTATTGGAAAGTTGTGTGATCTTTGCCCTGTCTCTATAGGTTGGGTTTGAAAAATAGCTCTATTGCAGAGAATTTTGAAGCAATGCCCTGTCTCTAAAGGAGGATTCAAGATGGTGGAAAGAATCTACAAATGCTTTGTTCTCAGTCAAATCTTTCTAAAAGACTTTGTCAAGGTCAAGTGGAGAAAGTTCAGAATTGAAAGGTATTTGGGGAAACCCTGTCCCCCCAAGGGTGGAAGCTTCTGCATGTTGAATGCCTTTTCTTCAAGTTCATTTGGGCCTTCTTCTTTGGGCTTTTCAAAACTAGCAGGTGGTCTCCTAATTCAGTGGAGTTTCTCCAAGTGGCCAAATGTAAGGGGAAAAATGTCAAGGCAAAGTTCGCTTGTAGCTGCATTCCTTTTGCTATCTGTTGGGAACTTTGGAAAGAAAGAATAGAAGAATATTTGAAGAGGAGGCTTGAACAAGGGGTCATATTACATTACTATGCGGCAAAAGAATTTTGGACTGGGTTCTCATTCTCCCATAGTTTGAAGGAATCACATGAAGACCTTGGTTCTGGTTTTTGGAACATTTTGGAGCTGGCTTAAAAGTTTCCCTTTTGTTTGGTTTATGTATCTCTCTTTTTCTATTGAGTGTCTCCTCCCTATTGTAGTTTCACAACTAAAGACAAAATGTTCAACATGCCACTTGTTTTATCCCAAATTTCTTCATTGCTTAATTAAATCGGCCAAACCAAGCTTATGGAGGTTGTCTTGAACCATAAATTGCTCCGTTCAACTGGTACACTTCATTTGACTCCTTTTGAGCAGCAAGCCCAAGCATTGTGTGAAAAAGGCATCCTTATTGTCAAGCTAAAAGAGCTGCCAACCAAACATAGCAGCAAATAGATGATAGCACAGGTTGAACTAATCTTAGCAACCAAAGAGAATGTATTACAATAGGCTATCCCATATGTTTGGGTTTATAACTTGGCTATAAACCACATTTTTAGGTGTTTTGCACTCTTATCAAGAAGGAATTTAACCATATAAATCTAGCAATACCCAATAACATGTTTGTTAAGAGGGAAGAGAAGTGAGATCCCAAGTATTATTTCCTCAAACTGTACTTTTTTTTTCTTCATAGCATTCCTCTAACTAGCAAGAATTTCTTGACTAAGGAATGAAAACAAAAGATATTAGGGAAGCAAATTGCTTATGGAAATGAGATAAATGATTAATTAAAACAAAATTGGAAATAGGATATGAAGTGCAAAATCCTGTACCGTTACAAAGAGCAATTAGGAGGTCTAAGTGAGAAATAGGAGGCAAATTTGGCAATGGAGAAGAAGTTGTTGGGTGCCTTTGGTGGTGCATTAATAGGTAGAGACATTAAAGGTATTCTAGAGGAAGCAACAACGTTATTAAAGAAAGAAATAGATTTAAAAAATGGTAACATTTGGACAAACAAATGATTTTTTTCAAGTCAAAACCATAACACTTGAGTCCTAGAGCATCCAAAAAAGACACATTTCACTGCATCTAATTTATCAATACTAGGTCTGAAATATTGGAATAAATACATCCAAACATTTTTGGGGTTAAAAATGTAGGGGAAAATTAGAAACAGGGGGGATGACTGTCGGGAATGGGCATTCAAATCTTGTTGATAAGGTAACATGCTGTGAGGACTATCACTCCAAAATTTTTTCAAGACTTTCATGCGAATAAGTAATGATTGGGCAATATAAAGAAATTGGCAATTCTATTGTTTAACAACTGCATTTTGTTATGGAAGGTATGAATAGGAGGTTTGGTGAATAATACCATGGTTCATTATAGTTTGGTTTATGTCACATGCAGAAGGTAAGAGCAAGAGAGCAATAGGTGAGAAAATTGTATCCCACCTTGAATTCTCTGATGATGTAGTTCTGTTTTGTGAGGACATTGAACGACTTAGGTCTACCCTTGGGGGGAAACCCTAGGTCTGATGGTTTTTGGAAGCTAATGGCAGAGAGGTTTTCAAAGAAACTAGCTCTCTAGAAAAGGAATTATATATCCTTGATCAGAGCCACACTAGCAAACCTTCCTATTTAATTCCTATGCACTTTCCGCATCCCAACTAGGATAGCTAGACAAGTGGAGAAATTTATGAGGGACTTTATGTGGGAACCAGGAAAGAAAAAAGGGCCATTTTATTAAATGGGAACGGGTTTGTAAGCCAAAAGATAATGGGGGCCTAGCTTTATGGAACATTGTACTTAGGAACACTGCTTTGTTATGGAAACAACTGGAAGGTAATGGCTGGGATGCTAAAATTGCTCCTCACTCTTCCTCAGCTTCTCTTTGGAGAGAAATTCATGAGATATACCCATTGTTTCTTAATTCCATCCGTTATGATGTGGGAAGGGGTGATAAAATCCGTTTTTGGGAAGATCTATGGTTAGGGGAAAGACCTCTAAAAGATCAATTCCTTGAATTTTTTCCCTCTCTAACGTTAAAGGGGAATCTGTATAAAAAATGGGTACACCCTCTGCTTCGGGTTTAAATTGGGACCTTGGTTTTAGAAGAGGCTTAAGGGAAAACGAGTGTACCTCCTTGATCGATCTACTTGACACCCTAGAGGCAGCTTTTCTGGACCCTAACCTTCAAGATTGTAGAATTTGGACAACCTCCCTAGATAACTCCTTACCTAGTTCTCAAGGGGTGGACTTTCCGGTGAAGGAAATCTGGTGTAAGCCAGTTCCACAAAAAAGCCAAGCTTGGGAAATCTTCTTTGGAAAGGTAAATACATGTGACTTGCTACAGAGAAGGCCCTTGTCTTGCCTTTTCTCCTCATATGTGCTTCTTATGTAGGGATAGTGGAGAGACCTTATCCCACTTATTAATCTCCTGCTCCTTTGTAGTGTGGAGAGCTACTAAGGAAAGAGGGAGAGTAGTGTGGAGAGCTACTACGGCAGCAATTGCTTGGGCGGTATGGGAGGAGAGGACCAACAAAGTTTTTACTGGTAAGAGTAGGACTTTGGAGGAGGTAATACAAAGCATAAAAGTGAAGGTTGCTTTTTGGGTGAAGACCCTGTATTGCTTTCAGAATTTGTCACTGACATCCTTAGGGCTTGGAATGTGGTAGCACAGTGCTCTAGACAAAAGGAAAGAATAAGAATGGAGTGGAAATCACCAGAAGGCTGCAAAATAAAACGAAACTTCAATGGAAGCTTATTGGGGTACCTAGGTCTGGCAGGCATAGGTGGTGCAATCAGAAATACAGAGGATAAAATCTTGGCTATATATTCAGGGCCAATTGGTATTGCAAAACTCTACGAAAGCTCAATTGTTGGCATTGATGAAAGGTCTGACTAGCAAAGCAACTGGGTTTTAGACAGGTCACAGGTGGAGGTGGAAAGGGACTCAGAAGTAATTATCTCATGGGCAAGCAGTAGCAGAAATATCCCTTGGACTCACAAATATGTTTTCAAGGCAGTGGAAGAGATAGTAAAGGATGCAAATGCTGAATTTAAGTGGGTAATGAGGAGTGCAAATGGGTTGGCTGACTCCCTTGCTAAACAAGGGGCTGCAAGACAGCAATTGTTTTGGGCATCCTTGTAAATGGGCTTTTGATATATGAGATAACTTTTTGTCATCAAATTGTACTGATCTCATTTAAACTAATTTAATAAAGTCATTTTCGCTAATAAAAAAACTTCTCCCCTATGTATAGAATTGCTTCAAGTACAACGTCTAATCTGCACTTATAAGATAGAACGAATCTAAATATAATAGAAAGCACCCCCATCTCATGCCACTTAACATTACAAAATATACCATTTTGTTAGAACAAAAAAGGCCCATGTTAGAATTTGACATGGGCACCATTATTGGTCTTTCTGGTGCATTATTCTGTCAAGAATTTGACATGCTGTCTGTATTTTTATGTTGTCTTTTCCAACTATTATTGCTCATGATCTTTTCTGTTTCAGGGTTGGGATGATCCTTATGTGCCACGAACACATGAAGGCCTCTTAAAGTGGAAATATGCAGATATGAACTCAGTTGACTTTCTCTTTGAGGTTGTACTTTATTGTTACTCATTGTGGTTGGTTGTGGGTGTTAGTTTTTCTATTTCTCTCTTATCTCAGGCTAGTCATTCTACTGTTGATAACTACCTAATATTATAGGTTAATGTTTGAATGTTTGAACAGGTGACTGATGACAATCATGAGCTACTTTATCTTCATGAACGAGGAAAGAAGAAGCTAATGGAAGGAAATCGTGTTGTGTTTAAAGGTTACTTTGAAGCTCTTTTTCCTCTTCTTGATTTGGTTATATTGATGGAGACATGGAAACTTAACATCATCCTATATCATTAGCAAAAGCACAAATTTATTCTTATGTTCTTTTCCTTAACACGCTGCCTGTGAACAAGCACTATGCTCCACCCATTTGGTTCATCAACAAGATTCTCTGGTGGAAGCCAACTGAAGAAGAAAAATGTTTTGTTCTCTTCATCTTTGTATAGGACCTATATTGCCAAGATATTCTAAAATAGACCAGAGTAAGGCAAATCACCACTGGATGCAATGGTCCATCCTTTTTCTGAAGGCCAGTTCAATGCTTCTATTTATATACCTCTGACAAGCCTTGCAATGCACAAAAACATCATTAAATATTCCTCTGCCATTCAATGTGTTGATTTTCAAATAAGATATTGAACTACAATTTTGCTTTAATATTACCATTGAGTAAAAATGGTCCTCTATGCATTTATAGAACTAAGCAAAATACCATTGTCATAGTTTCTTCCATTGATGATTCAGTAACCACCAACCGAGTGGTTAGCTGGGTAGTCGCAGCAGATATGTGGATTCAAGTCCCACTATTACCACCTGCCTTCCTGAGCTATTAATGTGTTGTGTTAAACACCCAAAAAAAAAAAAAAAAGATGATTCAGTGACCATGTTCCTATCCTTTTCCTTGATTTCTATATCCATCTCTGGATCTCCATAAAGAGGTTTTGCAATTTTGATGATGTATTCTAGGTTTCTTTTCTGCAATTTTTTGTAGGATTTATTTAACTTTTTCATCTGTCTTATGGACCTCTAATTTTAGAAAATGCTTCTTTTTGGTTACCCTTCACCTTGTAATTTCATTCTTTTTGCACTCTCTTGTGTAACTTGCAGGTGGATCAGACCCTACTGCATATTCGGGGAAGATTATAGAGTGTTCCTGGGATTCTGAGGAAGATGTCTGGCATTGCATGAGGATTAGGACAGACAAATCAACGCCAAATGATTTCAATACTTACAAGAAGGTCCATTCCACATGAATTGCCTGTTTGGATTTTTGTTAGGAGACCTATGCATAATACATGTATTGTACTAACAAAGCTCTTGGTTTGATGAAAAGCAGGTAATGCGGAGCATTAGGGATAATATCACAGAAGAAGTCCTGTTAAATGAGATTGATGAGATTGTCCGTCTTCCCATGTATGCTGATAGGATACGGAATGATAGCAAAGCAGCCCAAATGCACCACCAGCACAATAATTTAGCACGACGAAGATGAGGGAGGAGTAATTTATACCATACTGCACTGACACTCACAAGAGGCTTCCCAGTCCCCACCCTTCTCCATATCCCATAATTGGACATCGGCTGCCTTCCCAAATGATTTCAAGGGTTAATAAACCCTTTGGTCTGAATGTGCATGGCCAAATCAGCTCACAGGTCGCAGATCATGGTTCTGTAGTTAGTATAACCTGAACCGCCCCTGTTGTAGTCTTGTAGCATTTGCCATACTAGTTAATATTCCTGATCCAGTTGGTAAAATCCAATATGATGGATGATTGCCATGTTTCTTTCTTTCTGATGTTCAGATTGGAAGAATAAGGATCCGGTTTCTCCTTGTATATTAGCAATTTTTTGTTCCATGGTGATTGCAAAGTAGCTAGAAAGTAGCTGTTTGATATCTAAAGTTGTCTATAATTTGCCATGTTGCATATGCAATTTTCTTCTATTCTCCTGTCAGATTCTCTACAGGCCCAAATTACACGTCAAAATGCTACTTTCTTTTCAAGTAAAAGGAGGTCTCCAGTTGGTCTATTCTCTTTTATACTTGGCTTTTCATGAAGAGAATGCCAGCTACATTTCCTTGTGGACACAGATCAAATCATAAACTCGTTTCCTGGCAATTGCCTTGTGAATTTTGCATGTTCCACGTAATGGGCTAACCATGGTGATTTTAAAAAGTAGCTATTCTGGTGAGGAAAAGAGGATAGTCTTCCTTTTCCTCAACTGTTTCTCTCTTATTTTCCGACATACAGAACATAACCTAAGTTAACACGTTAAGAGATTGCGGATAAGTTTTCCATTTGGAGCATGGACATGATCAAAATAAACAAATGGGGCCGTCTGTCAACTGCTTAGCATCCCTCTATTGCTTTCCCTTATGTAGTGGGTAGAAATCTCTGTGCATGGCCGCATGGGTTGTGCCCCGATTATCAGATCATAGATAACATGATTCGTCCTAATGGGGCAAGATTCCGCTCTCCTGAATGCTGCGTCCATTGTTCTCTGATAATTCTAGACTGACAGGTTTATGAGGTTAACTTTCTTTAATAAATCCATTTGTTGGCCATGATTTTAGTCACACAACATGAGCTTTTCAGAAAATGAGCGTCGGATTGGGATGCCTAACGTCTGTGACCAGCACGTTATAATCAAAGTTACATCACAACCATTGATTAGGCCGGGCCTAAGTGATTCTTCTGTCCTCGGACGCCGTTGTGGTTCCAGTGCCCATAAGGCTCAATTTGGAAGGAGTACAAATGCAAATATGTAGAGTGCAATCTGTGTATTTTGTATTATTTTTTATATATTTGCACTGTACATATTTGTATTTGTACTTCTTACAAACAGAGACTAAGGTAAAACTTTTTCCGTGCTGCATTGTTATGGGATCTCTTGCAACCAAAACACTCTACACACTCTGAAAGCATGAGCATCCAGCTATACATTGGAAACATCTCTATGAATTTAAAATGCATGTAAGGGAGATATTTCCAATGAGCTGTTGGATGGTCTAATCGTAGAATTTTTGCTTACAAGAGATCTGGGCTGCAAATTTATGTAAGTTGATATCATATCGCCCGGTTTTTTTAACAGAAAAAAATTATATCATCTATTGTTAACAAAATGCCCATGTTACATTCAGTTTCACTAATTATACTACCTCAGGGTCTCACTACTTTTTTAAGGGCTACAGAACGGGGGTAGCCCATTCCCAAACCCATGAAACCCCCCCAAAACCCAGGTTACAGCGGGATTCAATCCCAAGTCTCCGTTGAGATTGGCTTCCATCAGGGCAAGCCCATGCTCATACCGTCCCAACAGTCTTGCAAATTTGCATTGGGGATATCTCCCCATGAAGTAAAACACATGAGTAGGGAGATATTCGCAATGCAAGACTGTAAAGGCTGCTCGAATGGGCGTTGCCCTGACAGAAGCCAAATTCGTCTCCACTACAACTAGCATAAGACCTTACCAACCAGCTGGCTGGCACCTTGTTACTGTTTTTTATGTGTGACCTCTTAATTCCTCTCATACTGTATTATAGGAAATACTAAAAGTAACCCACGCTATGCATGGGCTGGTGTTAGAAAGAAGCCCATGTTACACTCGGTTTCTTAACTGATGAATTGGTTCTAGATGAGCTTAAATAGTCCCTTGTTCAAATTTATATTTTTAAAATTCTAAAAAAAGCCCACAAAATTCTAAAAGGGTTAGGAAGCAATGTGAGAAATCTGATATGAAGTTGAGAACAACTGCATTTTAGTATAAATAACTGATTATGAGTTTGAATATTAAGGAAGCAAAGCTGGACTAATGATGGTATATCTCATTGGGTTCAAATCCAATTCGTAGCTCTAACACAGGTGAGGTCATTGAAATTTTCGTGTTTAATTTAAAAAGGGAAACGTGCCTAATTAACATTTTTTGGGCAATTTAACATTGTTTGGGGCATGTTTCGTTTTACTTTGACCCTTTTGTGATTTAGGCCTGCTTTGGTTGCAGTGCAAAGCTACAAAAATATGATAGTACAAATGATTTGTGTGCAAATTGTGATTTTTTTTTAATTTCATCTTATTTTGTTTGATTGCATAGCAAATGAAGTAAAATGAGACATGAAGCAGAATAAAGTAAAACCACAATTTACATTCTTTTTGTTTGCATTCTTATGCATTTGTACTAGTACAAATAAAATTGCACTACAACAAAATAGGGTTCCGTGTTATACGAATCATGAAAATTTGTGAAAGAAGTCGAAATTGGGGAGGGGGTACAAGTCAATTAATTTACACTGCATTCGGACTAGGGTCTTCGTACCGATCATTAAACCCTAAATTTTAAGGAATACTCGAGCCAAGCCCACCCAAGTTGCAATCCTAACTTGAATGGTGTTTTATTAAATGAAGAAAAGTTCCTGATAATAAACTGTGGGAAGCTTCCTAAATTACCCAGACACACACAACTCTGTTTTCTTTCCTATGTGTTTTTCTAGGCTTTTCTTACTTCAATACCAAGAAAACCTCTCTCACACGGTCACATACTGAAAGCAAATAAACTTTACAAATCTTCAATTTCCTTATTGGATTGGAATTGAGTTTCTTTTAGAAATTTGGAAATTCGTATTTATCTCTTACATCAGTGTAAAAACTAAGAAGTATGAAAATACACAGTATCAACACTACCGTTGTCCTTTCCTAATAAGACATCTTTCAAAAATTCAACCGTCTAAGTAGCTACTTTTGACGAAATTAGATTGTTCCTAAATTTACCATATTACCATCATAAAAACTAATTCGTTTCCTTTTTACACGTTTTCCCCAAAGCTTTCTTGCATGCCAAGTAGTCTAAATTAGTCTTAGAATTGGCATTGACTTCTATTAACTACGTACATTCCTAATCGGACTGTGATTTTTTATTTATTTATTAATTAGTCCCATACTCTCATCTACCCAGCATTCGTTCTTTTCTATTGTTAAAAATTCTTTTACTCTTCCTTGATCAACACTTGTTCGTCAAGTCTGTTCATTAATTTCTTTTTCAAGCCAAAAGAACGTGGCGATCGGTGCGGGAATAGAATCTGAATTCTGAAGATGGTTAATTCATATTTAAGCGATGACATCATCTTTGAAGAAATACTCACCAGGGTTTGATTACTCCAGGGCCAATATGTTTCAAGCCGGGTTGGATTGCATTACGTTTTATGGAGATTATAGCAGATAAAATGATAGACTGGTTCATCAAATTTAGATCTTTGAGTTCATGTGAGATGCCCAACCTTAAAAGTTGCTCTAATTGTATGTTGTTATTACAAGATAAACATAATTTTCATAATCTTTATATAGTTAATCCTGCTACAAGTCAATGGATAAGCATTCCTCCTTTCACCACACCCATTGGCCACTGGTTCGAGTTGGTATACATTCCTTGTACACAGGAGTATAAGGTGGTACACTTGTTTAAAGATTACGATAGTTTCACTTTTCGGTGTGAGATATTCACCTGCGGTGGTGGTGGTGGTTCATGGCGACTAGTCGACTCGATCCGAGAAAATCGAATCGGTAAATACTTTTGGAGAGAAAGAACTATAGTGAGAGGGGTTGTACACTGGAATGTTAATTCGACTTGGTATATTATTTCTATGGACCTCAGGCAAGAAAAATTCCGTCTGGTGGAACTCCCTCGTTGACGTTTTCACACACAGGTACATCTACTAGAGAAATGAGTTTTTTTGTCATTTCTTGATCGAGATCCCTATGAACAGATAGACGTGTGGGTTCTGAAGGATTTTCATGCAGGAGATTAGGTTAAAGAATACAGTATCAACGTGCCTTGGGAGATAAAACGGTGTTTGTATAATGTTATCACCACCCTGAGAAACAGTGAAGTTATTGTTTTTCATAGATATGGAAAACACTTCAGCGTCTACGATTTGCGAGTTGGGCAATGGAGGTTGGTTAAGTACAGAAGGAAACGTGTTTGTTCTAATGGCATCTATGGCCCCCATGCCAACAACCTCTTCTCTTTGAATGCTTGATCGATCTGGAGTTGTGTAACAGTTATTGATCAGTGAAAAACTATGTTTAATTAAATATTGTTATATAGTTCATATACAAAAATCTCTAGTTTTCTATTGACAATCTAATTCATGTAATTTTTTCTCAGTGGAAATTTTAATTTGTTCTCCATTGGAGCTACTTATCAGGCACAACATTCATGAATTTAACTTTCATATATAGATTGTCATGTCAATTTACATTAATTGATGCTTATTCCACTAACATAATGATAATTTGGAGAGTTAGATGTTTTAAAAGAAATTGAACACACAAAGTAGTAGCATTTAAAGTTAAATAAGAAAGACAAGAAGAAAAACTTGTAAAGTTCAAAGAAAACAGTATAAGGCTCTCTTTGTTTGCAGTGCAAATCTGAAGTACACGATACAAATTTCACACCTGGTTCAGTTTTACAACTATATGGTTTGCACTTCTATATATCTAACACAAAATCTGTACTTTTTGGCTCATTTTCATTCACTGAAAATACAAATTTTGCATCCAAAAACCGATGTAAAATTCACATGACATTATGACCCCAATTCTTTCTCATATAAAGTGGGGACTAAATCACCTTGATTCCTACTTCACTCCTAAACAAAGAACCCTCTTTGATCCTACCCCATTCTTTATAGAAGGTGGGAACCATATCAATTTACAACCTAACCTATTTTATGTCTCAAACAAATAAGACAGTTAAATCAGAAGCAAAAGTAAACCAAAATTTACACTCAACCTATTTGCAATCCAATGAATTTACTCTGGTGCAAATGAAATTTGTCCTCTGATCAATTGTAAAAAAAAAAATAAAAAGGATATTCCCAGGTGAGTGCAGGGAACTCAAAGTACCGGCATGATTAGTAATAAGAGCTTATTGGCTTGCCACTTTGTGCAAAAAACAAAAAAAAATACCACAGGTTGGTCGAAAGCCAGGGTTCCCCTCCCAAGACGGCAATACCTCAGAGAGCTGGACTAGGGTTTATCATTTCTCATATTAGAAATTTTTGGGCCGGGGCAGTAGTTTTTCTTCCAAGCCAGAGACGTAAGCCCAGAGGTCCCAGGCGTAGAGTACGGGCCAGGGCGGGCCCGAGGTCCCAAGCAGTTTTAGCCCATAAATGCCATCACTGCCCTATAAAAACCAGACTTGCCCAGTCCGAACTGGAATTGGCCCATTGGTAACCTTATTTTGCTTGTAATAAGTCCCTTCTAATAGTGGATCAAATATGACCCATAAATAGCTCAGCTCTTCTCTCTTGGGTAATATAGCCTATCCTCATTTAGGGCATATTTGTTACTCTCGGTAAGTGGGGGGGGATAAGTTGGTCAACATGAAAGCTGACCAGCTTACCCATGTTAGTGTATAAATAAAAATAACTGTGGATCCATAGTAAAATGATTTTCCCATGGGTACCCATCTGGATTAACTTTCCCACCAGGGGGGCGAAAGCTGGTAAAAATTATCAATTGTTTGACTTACTCGTGTAAATGACTTACCAAAAATGAACACTCCACATGTATGAGATCTTTAGGCACATAAGGCAATCCACATTTAGGCTGTTTGGTTTGAAAGCTTATATAGGTTTCCCTACCTTTTCCTTTTCCCTTCTTTTCTTTCAAACCAAACACAGCCTTAGGTTAGCGCAATTGGATTAAATCTTTTTTGTATTTCAATTAATGATGTGAAAGGTTCTTTTCCCTGCCATTTTTTAAGGTTGATCATGTAAAGGAAAGCCGGCCTATTAAACGAAAACTGAAAGATGCGCTGGGGCTCTCAATCTCACAAACTCAAAATTTGATTAAACAATTTTCATCTTAGAAAGGCAAGCCCAATTCCCGTTGGGCTACACCCAAATTGTTCTATGAAATTAATTTTAAGTGCATACGTTAAAAGTAAGATTTAGCTCTATAGTCTATACCAACGTAATTATCATTCAATTGGTCCAATCAAGAGAAATTGGGTTGCCTCAATTCGCTCACAATCATTAAAAAATAGCGATTAGCTTTGATCCAGTTAAAACTATTTAATCCTTTACATTTTCAATATACAAGGGAACATTCAGCCTATGGCTTTGTGGACACCATCAAGCCTGAATTTTGACATTAGTAACCAGAACATATTTTGTCCTCTTTGTACTTTTTTTGCTTTATGGGTGTACATAAGAATACGAGCATGGTCTTGGAGCTTCAAGCTGTGGCCTCTACGCAATTTTTTTGGTGCTCTTGGTTGTTCCCTTGGAAACTCCAAGACGTGTTTGTGCTGCTCTTGCCTTCGAGGCAAAAATATTCAAAGCAGCTACGAAGACCACATTACACCCCGGTAATATACAGACTAGCTGCAAAAACAATGTCACGCTTGATGGCAGTAGAAGCTGTTTCCATTTTCTTGTACAATGCAGAATTACCCATGATTGCTGCTGCATTCCTGAATTCGCGGCACGTCTCATCCAGTCGTACAATGGTCCTTACAATCAGGCCTTCAGGAACATCTGTAAGCTCACATATGTCTGAAAATGGTGTACCCTGCCAGAAAAAAAGTGGATATGGTGAACCACCGAAATAGATAATGAATCTGGGACCAAAAAAAAAATACTAAGAGAACAATGGAAAACCTTTGCCCATTCATAAACCACTTCAACGAGGCCAAACTTCAGATTTTCTTGTGCATACTCCTCAGGGCTTATCGGCAATTTGAATTGTGCTTGAAGTTCTCCAAGTCTTATTGCAGTATTATATAATCTAGTGCAGATAGACATATCAGTCAAGATTCAAAGACCAAAAAATCCAGAAAGATGAAATATAATTCTGTACAGTTACTGCTACCAAATAACCAACAGCACCATGCCCATAATGATCTTCCGAGCTGCCAGAAAACCATATCATGCAGTAAAGCTCTTGGGGGAGCTTAGACAGTATACAAGGAGATTTGGGAGCTACAAGATCATAAAAAGGAAGCCAGGTCATTGGCTGCCAGGATGAATATCTTGTTTGGTTGGATACCAAGATCGAATCCACAAGCAGATACTCTAGCCAGAATTGGGGTTACTACTTACTAGAGATCCCTCCTACTTGGGGATAGACTTTTTTGGGATTGTGCTTACATGTCAACCTTTCTTGTTTTTGTTTTAGGTCCTCAGCATAAGAGTAGGAAGGTCTCTAGTAAGAAAGCATTTTGATCATTGTTACTGATCAAAAAAAGATATCCCTCACTAAAGCTTATTAAGAATATGAACAAAGAAAATCTTTTCTCTGTTCTGCATAGGCAGGGAACAAATTTTCCATGAATACGATATGTCATGCTATAACTAAAAGGAAAGAGCATAATAGTATGGAAATAACCTCTTTTTTGCCTGTGCTAGCTTGGAAGTAAGAGTAGGCTCAGAAGTGTTCTTCTGTTGAAATACAAGGGCAGACATAAGAGCTACAGCTTCTTCTGGTTCCAGATCATCCAGTTGGTTCTCAAACAAACACTCTGTGCAAATCAACTCTTCCCCAGAATTCATTTCACATGCAACACGTCCCTTGATCTGAACTACAAGATCAGCATCTATGCAGCCAATTTCCTTCAGTACATCAATCTGCAAAAGCATTAATATGATAATATGATATAAAGACTTCAGTTACCATGTATCATTGCTTCTAAGATGATTTCACACTAGACCTGTATACCACAAAGCAGAAGCCATGTCATGTGAAAGCAAAAAGAAAGAGACTTCATAGAAAAATATACCCGGCCCTGAAAGTCTGGCATCTGTTGAAGTGCTTCATCTGACATTTGGTACTTCAGTGCATTAACTTCCTCTCTGTGTTTATTTATTTCTTTTAGTAAGATAATGTGCTCCTGCAATTTTGTGCAACCATGGCACTTGCTTTCAGACATCCTTTGCAACAAACTATTCCATGTGTGGTACGACTCCACAAGATCAACATCTTTCAGCTTCAGATCTGAAATAGGTTTGCCACAGTGATAACAGCACTAGAAAGTGAAACCACTCAAACCAATCCTAATGCCACACAAATATTGATCTATTGGTTGCCATAGTAAAGATCTCTAATCTGATAGTTGTCTCAAATGATATTATAATTGTGATTAAGCTGGGCAGCAGTAATGTTTCTTTCAGCTTAAGGTGGGAAATTATTATTTACCAAAATTAGAATTATGCAGTGGGGCAGAATTTTTCTTTGTGTCCATAGGGATCATATGTATCTAATAATTGCCTGCAATGGAATTGTAATTGTTACTACGCCAGGCAGGAGTCACATTTCTTTCAGCTTCAGATGAGAAGTACTGTACAACAGAAATAACATTATACAGCAAGGGAATATCTTAATATTGGGTCTGTCGGGTTAATAGATGGACACCACTCACTCACATTACTTGTTCAGCATATTAGAAACACCCAGAATGGGTCTCACCAAGATGTTACACGCCACAAAAAACAAAAATCGTTAGGTTACTTCCAACTATCTGAACCGTGCATTCCCTTCTGTGCTTTCATTGAACATACAAATACTTTACCACTGCTAAACAATCGCTTGTTCGAGCTGAACCGTGCATTAACTTGTCCTAGCTGATTATTTTTTTTGATCAATAACACTTTCATTAATTCATCAGTAGAAAATTTACAAGTGGAAGACAAACACACTTATCTTCCAAGAGTCACAAAGAACTTCAAGAAAGGAAAGAAGAAAATACAAAGATACAAGGGCACTAACATTACAACTT